GCCTGGACTCATCTTGTATGCACCTGTTAAAGTACATTATGCAGCACAGACATGTTGTGTGTGCTAACAAGCTGTAGTACAAATTATTTCCAAAAGAGAGACCACTAAGTCAGGCCTCTGGTGTCATATAAAGCCAATACTTGACCTGAGAAGTTAGCCACCAGGGACAGTTCCCATTACAGCCTATTGACCTGCAAAATATTTGTTTCTCCTGCACAGGATGTGATGGATGAGTTGTCCTATAAAATACGTGTACGGTCCATTAATAGCGTTTCCAAGGCATTTAAACAGCACTGCCAAACTTCTCGAGCTAGGTCACTGCTTCGTAATGACTCCTCTGGTAGATATCAAGGTTCTGGGTGATGTCTCAGCCCTTTCCTCATATGGGTGTGAACTTGGCTAGCCGTACAATTACATCCGAATGGAAACCAAAGTGACTTAGTGACTTCTGCTTAACCACAAGTGCGCAGACCGCCCTATATCTGGTGTGACACTACCGATGACTCCTATCAAACACATTCATATATTTCAAATACATCTAGCATTCCATGATTGTCTCAATTCTAATAACATCTTCCAGCATTCAGAGACTTGCTCCACAATAAAAACCTGTGAAACAGATACAAAAAAAAACCCCACAAGAGCAATGTTGAAATATAGGGAAGTTATTTTTACAAATTGAGAAAAAAAAATAAGAAAAATAGAAGAAATTGAGGAAATAAAACTTCCTGAATTTGAAAAAATAATGTGTATTCTATGAGGTTGTAGGGATTGAGAAATAATAACAAAAAGCAAAATGTAACAAATGTTACAAATAGTAACATAAGCCTTCGTTCACACTGATGTGGTGTGGAATTAGTTTTCAGTGCAAATTCTGCACCGCATCACAATCGCACCCCGTTCACACGGACGCGGTGCGATGTGCAGAATCAGATCGCATAGGTGTGAATACTCATGCGATCCGATTCTAGTGCGGACCAAAAAAAGGGTCCTGCACCTTTTTGGTGTGGGTGCGGAGCGAATAGAGCCATACAAAATGTCCGGCTCCAATCGTACTGCATACAAATCGCATGTGATTTGCACAGGAATGCGGTGTGGTTCCTATGCGAATCATATGGGATTTTGAACCTAGGCTAAAAAAAAAAAAAAAAAAAAATCAGTTGATTTATTATAACCAACACACAGATAAAATCGTGTACCTTTCTAAATTGAAAGTCAGGAAGAATGGATTTAGAATCCAGCACCTCACTATCAGGCTCCATGCACACGGGGTGTTTTAATAACACTGATAACGTTAGCTGTGTAAGGTCACGTTAAAAATGTGAGTTTTTCAGCGTTTTCATATTAGCGTTCAGCTGCGTTTTTTTTTTTTTTGTGTTTTTTTTAACAAAAAAATTTTTTATTGTTGCTCCAAAAAAAATCCAAAAATGCTGGTTTGCCGCGTTTTACCATGTTGTTTTCCGCTTTTTACCACATTTTTCAGCATTATAGCATTTTTACAGCTAAAAAAACTCCTCTAGAATCCCACTAGTTCTGGGTTTTTTTCCAGCCAAAAAACATCCCTGCCAAAAAACGTTGATAACAGTCTATGTGTGTATGGACACATAGGATAACATGCTGCGGAGTTTACTGGATGTAGAAAAAAGCTCCAAAAGTCAAAAACAGGCGCTGTAGAAATGTCCAGTGTGCATGAGGACTCACAAGCCTGCAGCGCTCACCGCTCTATTGCCTTGCTACTAACGTATCAGGGTCTGATTCCAGGCAGGATCATAGCATGGCTTAGACATGACGACATCACACATGCTAATTGGCTGCAGCTGCTGGCGTTTTTTGTAACCATCGAGCCTGCTAATTTTTATCTGATTACATGTGAATTTGACGTCATTGGTGACAAAACGCGTAGGAAGAAGCCAGAGCGTGTGACGTCAGCACGTTTCAGAATGTGGCAACCAGGGGCGGACTGACAACTCATGGGGCCCCCGGGCAATAGGGGATCATGGGGCTCCTGTGTCCTTGCCCAAACTCAAAAAAGCCTATGAAAAAGGTACCAGGGGCATCTCATGGGGCCCCCTACTGACCCCGGGCCCTCGGGCAGTGCCCAAGTTTCCAAATGGTCAGTCCGCCCCTGGTGGCAACCATCTTGTTGGTTAGAAACTTACCATTCACTACATAGTGATGTGCTGTTTTATATTCACAATTGATGTACGTTCAATACTATGCTTTGAGGCAATAAATTCTAATTATTTTACTACACTATGAGGATTCTCTTTTTCAATTTAAATGGGGTTCATATCTATGAGGATAATTCCTTTGTAGGATCATCCTATAGCCCATCTTCTGATGTGAGAGTTTGGAACTAAAGAGCGTCCAGGTCTGCGGCTTGCCTTTTGGAACTTATACAGCGTTTTTTGACCCATCCATAATTGGGGGTCAACATGATCTGGCAAGAGGCAGAGTGTTTGGTGATGGTGATGGAGGACTCTTTTCTATCTTCTCCTGGCCATTTTTGAGACATCTTTAGCAGCACTGAGGCTCCAGTGAAAAGGGGCTTATTTTATACTGTATATCTTCATCTTGTGGATTGGACTTTTAGGTTTAACCTCTTGGCACCAGCTGCACACAAATGTGCGGCCTCCCAGCATCTGGGCCTTGACGCCGAGCGGCTGCACATTTGCATGCAATTAAGAAAAACATATGTGCTGAGAGCACGCGCACACATGTCTGATACTCACGGAAACGTCCCAATCTCCTCTTGCGATCGGGACCTTTCCCGATCATGTGACTGCTGTGACAGCGAATCATGGCGGTCACATGACCCTAAAACCCCGCCCCGCCTCCCGGCTTCTGAAAGCCTTAAAGGGCCGGGAGGCACCAGTGTCAAGGGGTTAAAAATGTTTTAAACTTTTATGTGATATTTATATCCTGTTGGATTTATACTTTAGTCCAATAAAGGATTTTTTTTAAAACCTGCTACACTATGGAAGTGTTTATGTTTTTTTTCAACCATGAACTGCTTTGAATGGGAGTGCGCTGACAATGAAAAGAGCGGTGGAAGGTGTATGACCCAAAAGCGATTTTGACCATTTATAATTTTATGTTCCAACGAATTACGTAAGAGACCTTTATTGTTGATCAAACACGGTGGAGGAATGCACTGAAGCATATTTATACGATTGGAAGAATCACATGCAGGGGCGGACTGACCATTTGGAAACTCGGGCACTGACCGAGGGCCCGGGGTCAGTAGGGGGCCCCATGAGATGCCCCTGGTACCTTTTTCATAGGCTTTTTTGAGTTTGGGCAAGGACACAGGGGCCCCATGATGCCCTATTGCCCGGGGGCCCTATGAATTGTCAGTCCGTCCCTGATCACATGTTTAATTTTTATGCACTGGATTTATTACATTTTTTTTTATCAAGGCGGACTTTATTTATGGACTTTATTTTATTAAGGCGGACTTTATTTATGGACTTTATTTTATTAAGGCGGACTTTATGGACTTTACCTATATATAACCTGTGTGATGATATGTTAACCTGACATGTGATGATAGGTTATTTAACGCTGCCTATTTTTTCGTTTTGCACTTGTTAATTGGTATCACAATTGTATAGTAGCTGCTGTTCTACGTTTTTGACCCAAACACTAACCCCTGCACTGATCTAGATGAAACCTTGATCTAGGTATTTTTTAAATTATTTTATTTTTTAATTATTATTATTATTTTTTTTTTACACACACTTTGCTTTTCTCTCTGAAGGACAGAGAGAGATATAATGTATCTGTATTAGAGAGAGAAAACAAGGGGGCGGGTCCTGATCAAACAAGGTTTCGGGTCCTAATCATTACCATGGGACCCTGGGCTCTCGGTTAGACCCTGGTCTCTGTGCTGGGAGTGCGCCGTGCGGCACACTCCCAGCACCAAGACAGGTAAACGGAAAAAAAGCCCAGTCCATTGGGGCTGCATATTTGCGCATGATTGGAGCAAAGGGGTTAAGCTTTGTTTTCCAAGGTAAGAAAAGTGTCTAATTAATCATACAGAGGAGACCATAAAAACGGGGGTGCTTATATGAGTGTAGAACAGAGACAGTTCCTAAACTGGTCACATTTACAAATGTCAGTGTCATGTCTCAGATTTCAAAATGTTGGCTAGTTTGGGGTAGTGACACCAGTAACTAAGTAGGGTGAGGGACCTTTTCTTATCATGACCCATCAGTGGCCAGCCTTGATTGCAAATGCATAAGCAGTGCAGGGACCCAAGAATGTATAAACTAGAAATGAGCGAGACTGAAAGTTTTTACTTCTGCTGATTTTTTTTTTTTTTTAAATTGGGAAAGTTCAGTAAAATTCCACCAATTAGGCAATGGAGTCAGAGGGGAAGGTGAGGTTTTGTGGTTTTGATGGATTCAATGGTGCAAATGACTCCTGAGGGTTTACAGAAAATCTGTTCAACTATCCTGGACCTATTCTTGTGCCAGGATGGGGTCCCTCATAAGTCTTACTATTTTCCTTTCTTTTTTCTTTTATTAGTAGAAACAAGAATTAAAAACAAGTAGAATAAACACTTTTAAAGCAGCACAATACAAATAGCTAATAAATACAGGGGAAAAAAAAATAAAAATAAAAAAAAAAAACACCAAAATGTAAAAAAAAAAAATACTCTAAATGAACTAAAAATGAAACACAACCCATGCACACGGGGCGTTTTGATAACGCTAGTAATGTTAGCTGTTAAAAATGTGATTTTTTTCAGCTTTCTTTAGCGTTTTTGCATTAGCATTTAGAGGTGTTTTGCCATGATTAGTGGCGTTTTCCCACGTTTGCATTATTTGACCAAAGAAAAAAATTTATTTTGGTCAAAAAAAGTCTAAAAAACACCGGTTTGTGGCGTTTTACCATGTTTTTCAGCGTTAGAGCGTTTTTACAGCTAAAAACCTCCTCTAAAAACCCACTAGTCCTGAGGTTTTTCTAGCCAAAAAAACGTTGATTCCAGTCTGTGTGGATGGACACATAGGATAACATGCTGGGGATGGACACCTAGGATAACATGCCGGGGATGGACATATATAGGATACACATGCCGGGGATGGACACACATAGGATAACATGCCGGGGATGGACACACATAGGATAACATGCCGGGGATGGACACACATAGGATAACATGCTGGGGATGGATAGGATAACACATAGGATAACATGCCGGGGATGGACACATAGGATAACATGCTGGGGATGGACACGTAGGATAACATGCCGGGGATGGACACATAGGATAACATGCTGGGGATGGACACATAGGATAACATGCCGGGGATGGACACACAGGATAACACGCCGGGGATGGACACATATAGGATAACATGCCGGGGATGGACACATAGGATAACATGCCGGGGATGGACACACATAGGATAACATGCCGGGGATGGACACATAGGATAACATGCTGGGGATGGACACGTAGGATAACATGCCGGGGATGGACACATAGGATAACATGCCGGGGATGGACACGTAGGATAACATGCCGGGGATGGACACATAGGATAACATGCCGGGGATGGACACATAGGATAACATGCCGGGGATGGACACATAGGATAACATGCCGGGGATGGACACATGGGATAACATGCCGGGGATGGACACATGGGATAACATGCCGGGGATGGACACATGGGATAACATGCCGGGGATGGACACATAGGATAACATGCCGGGGATGGGACACATAGGATAACATGCCGGGGATGGACACATGGGATAACATGCCGGGGATGGAAACATGGGATAACAGGCCGGGGATGGACACATAGGATAACAGGCCGGGGATGGAACACATAGGATAACATGCCGGGGATGGACACATAGGATAACATGCCGGGGATGGACACATAGGATAACATGCCGGGGATGGACACATAGGATAACATGCCGGGGATGGACACATAGGATAACATGCCGGGGATGGACACACAGGAGAACATGCCGGGGATGGACACATAGGAGAACACGCCGGGGATGGACACATAGGATAACATGCCGGGGATGAACACATGGGATAACATGCTGGTGATGGAAACATGGGAAAACATGCCGGGGATGGACACGTAGGATAACATGCCGGGGATGGACACGTAGGATAACATGCCGGGGACGGACATGTAGGAGAACATGCCGGGGATGAACACATAGGAGAACATGCCGGGATGGACACATAGGATAACATGCCGGGGATGGACACATAGGATTAACATGCCGGGGATGGACACATAGGATAACATGCCGGGGATGGACACATAGGATAACATGCCGGGGATGGACACATAGGATAACATGCCGGGGATGGACACATAGGATAACATGCCGGGGATGGACACATAGGATAACATGCCGGGGATGGACACATAGGATAACATGCCGGGGATGGACACATAGGAGAACATGCCGGGGATGGACACATAGGAGAACACGCCGGGGATGGACACATAGGATAACATTGCCGGGGATGGACACATAGGATAACACGCCGGGGATGGACACATAGGATAACATGCCGGGGATGGACACATAGGATAACATGCCGGGGATGGACACATAGGAGAACATGCCGGGGATGGACACATAGGAGAACACGCCGGGGATGGACACATAGGATAACATTCCGGGGATGGACACATAGGATAACACGCCGGGGATGGACACATAGGATAACATGCCGGGGATGGACACATAGGATAACACGCCGGGGATGGACACATAAGATGACACGCCGGGGATGGACACATAGGATAACATGCCGGGGATGGACACATAGGATAACATGCCGGGGATGGACACATAGGAGAACATGCCGGGGATGGACACATAGGATAACATCCGGGGATGGACACATAGGATAACATTCCGGGGATGGACACATAGGATAACATGATAACGGGGATGGACACATAGGATAACATGCCGGGGATGGACACTTAGGATAACATGCTGGGGGCTTTACTGGCTGTAGAAAAAAACAGCAAAAGCCATAAACAGCCGCTGTAAAAACATCCAGTGTGCATGAGGACTAATGCAGCTTCATGGTGGGTAAATCTTTAAACATTTAAATTAATAGAGATTGTTAAATAATTATAAATAAATAACAATAGTAAATTATAAGTATAACACGGGGCCGAAAATTTACAAAGAAAAACATTACCAATAACGTATAAAGCCATTTATAACTGTGCCCCAAATTACATCACCGACCTTGTCTCCAAATATCACCCAAACCGTACTCTCTGCTCCTCGCACGGCCTCCTGCTCTCTAGCTCCCTTGTCTCCTCCTCCCATGCTCATCTCCAGGACTTCTCCAGAGCTTCCCTCATCTTCTGGAACTCTCTACCCCAATTTATCAGACTATCGCCTACTCCGCTCACTTTTAGGCGATCTCTGAAAACCTATCTCTTCAGGGAAGCCTATCCTGCCCTCAGCTAATAATGGAATCTTCTACTCATACCAGTCCCATCCCCCATAGATACTACAGTTTGTACCACTAGACTCTCCCTCTTAGATTGTAAGCTCCAGGATCAGGGCCCTCCTAACCCTTTTGTATTGAACTGTATTGTTGCTGTATTGTCTGCCGTTATATTGTAAAGCGCTGAGCAAACTGTTGGCGCTATATAAATCCTGTATAATAATAATAATGATATATAAATTTCTGTATAATAATAATAATAATATATAATTCCTGTATAATAATAATAATATATAAATCCTGTATAATAATAATAATTAATAAATCCTGTATAATAATAATAATAATAATATATAAATCCTGTATAATAATAATAATTTATAAATCCTGTATAATAATAATAATAATAATAATATAAATCCCGTATAATAATAATAATATATAAATCCTGTATAATAATAATAATAATAATAATATATAAATCCAGTATTATAATAATAATAATAATAATATATAAATCCTGTATAATAATAATAATATATAAATCCTGTATAATAATAATAATAATATATAAATCCCGTATAATAATAATAATATATAAATCCTGTATAATAATAATAATAATAATAATATATAAATCCTGTATAATAATAATAATAATAATATATAAATCCTGTATAATAATAATAATATATAAATCCTATATAATAATAATAATAATAATTGGAGCACATGAGAAGAGATTTGCTGTTCCTCGATGTTGTAAACTTTTTACTTTCTACTCGATTTAGTATTGTTGATGTGAAATAGAATGTTGTCATATATTGGATTTTGATATACAATAAATCATGTTTTCATGCTTATTTTGTGCCTCAAAATTCCCCATTCTCAGGTCTTCTTTTGGTTCAAATAAAAACAATATTAGGGGTGTGGCACTCAAACACAGTCTAATATTGATAATAGTAAATATTACTTTCATTTAAATAAATATAAATAAATAAAAATACATTATTGTAATATTTTTAATTATTAATAAATCATATCATTAAAGATTTTTTTTGTAGGACAACTAGATGCCAGTAGGGTTTTAATGCAGGAGAGTCAGAAAACTGACTGATTGTTATAGGCAACTATTAATTAATTTACATTTAATTTTCCTTGATCCACCTTTCATAATCCTCACATGTCCAATATACATTTGGTTATAGTCCTCCCCTTATACAACAATGTATATATTTTTGAGTTGTGTCACCAAGTTCACAATTGGGTGTACTAGTTAGCCTTTGTGGTCATATTATTCATAGTGCTGATTAATGTCCTTGGCTGTGAAGCAATTTTGTAGTAAATGAGTTTATTACAGTTTTCTGTTGCTATGTTGATTATTTGGAGCTGGATTTTGCATTCTGACCCAAATCAATGACTCGGCTACATAGTACAAATAATTCACTTGTAGCAGACTTGTTGTATGACAACCTAAAAAATTAACTGAATTTTTCTTTTATTCTTCTATATAAATCATTCTAATAAATAATTCTAAAGTATAAGGGCTCATGTACACTGCAGCTGATAAACTGACATTCAGGAGCTTTTCTGCGCTTTTTTCAGCAGCCCCTGATCTCTGCTTAATGTTTTCCTATGTGTCCATGTACACATCGTCGTTTACAGGCAGTTGAGTTTACAGTCGTTTTTTTTGGACTCACCAAACTTGACCTTCAGAAGTAGATTTTATCAGCGTTGCACGCTTGTAAACGCGTGTAAATGCAGCTAACCGCATTTATAAGCGCTTGCGTTTAGAAGTTTTTTTTAACTGTTCCATATCCAGATGCTGTCCAGAGCCTTTTTTCATCATCAGAAATGCATGCAAAGCGTTTTCAAATGGACCCAGTACACCAGCGCAGTCAGTTCCAGGTTTCGCGTGAAGGAAAAAACGGTAGAATGTGCCGCATTATGGTCATGATGGGATCCATACTGAATACAACCAGAAAAGACAGGTCATCTCAACATATACTGCTCTCTCTGCTTCTGCTCTCTATTTCTCTCAAAATGTCTGAAATAGTAAATTTTTTTACTGCTTTTCAGTGCATTCTGGGCATTTGGGAAGGTCTCCTGAGGTTATCTTTAAAAAACGCTTCTAAACACAAACGCACATAAATGCACATAAACGCAGTATGCAAACACGGCTAAACAGATGTTTTTTAACCTACGGACCCTGCATTCACTATATCTGGTCTCCCAGGACCCTGCAGTCCCTATATCTGGTCTCCCAGGACCCTGCATTCACTTGTATCTGCTCTCCCAGGACCCTGCATTCACTATATCCGCTCTCCCTGGACCCTGCATTCACTATACAGTCTCTCCCCTGGACCCTGCATTCACCCTTATATCTTCTCCCCGAAACCCATGTATTTCTCACGAAAACGTATCAGCATTAACACATGTTTTGCTATACACATGTTTATTCCCTTTGTGGTATTGGGACAAAACAAAAAAAGGGAGGAAAGAAAGCAAATTCGCATAATGTCACACAAACCTATGGGCTGGACAAAAGTATTGGCACCCTTTCACAACTGCGGATATCAATAAGAATGTTTCAAGCATGTGATCCCTGTAAACTCACCTGGGGCAAGTAACAGGTGTTCACTATAGAAATCTGGCAGATCCCCGGACGTTCACTTCACTTTGCATTCTGTGTCTGTCTGTCTAAGCATGGACAACAGGAGGAGACGAGAACTGTCTGAGGGTCTCCCAGAACCAAAATTGTGGCAAAATATCTGGTCTCCAGGACCCTGCATTCCAGAGAACTAGATTTCCCTTTCTCCCAGTGCGCAACATTATCAAGAAGTTTGCAACCCATGGCACTGTAGCTAATATCCCTGGTCTGGACGGATGAGGGAAATTGATGCATTCAACGCAGAATATCCGGATGGTGGATAAAGCAGCCCCGGACCTGCATTCACTATCCTCATCTCAGGGAGCATCCGGACCAGCGCGAACTATCCGTCGACATTTAAATATGAAACTGCTATGGCAGGAGACCCAGGAGACCCCACTGCTGACACAGAGACATAAAAAAGCAAGACTACAGTTTGCCAAAATGTACCTGAGTTCACTTATGGGAAAACGTCTGGACTCCAAGGAGCCCTGTAAAGCACTCATTCTACTGTTTACCCGAATGAGGCCTACAAATTCAAAACTCAGTACCTACGGTACCCTGCAGGTTCAATATGTTTTGGGGTTGTTTGTTTTGCTGCCCCACTGGGTGCCTTGACTGTGTGCAAGGCACATGAAATCTGAGGATTACCAAAGGATTTTGGGTCGCACTGGGGCCCTGTCAGAAAGCTGGGTTTGCGTAAGATCCTGGGTCTTCCCAGGACAATGACCCCTGCATTCAAAATACTCTGGATGCTGCAAAGAAGCCTGGGACCCTGAAGTTCACTATGAGCCCAGATCTCCCATTGGACCTGTGCATTCTTAAAATTGCTGTTGGGAAAAGCATTTTTCTGTCCTTCCAATAAGAGAGACCTGGAGTGTTTTGCAAAGGAAGAGTGGTCCTAAATTCCGGGTGAGAGGTGTCAGAAGCTTATTGATGGTTATAGGAAGCGACTGATTTCAGTTATGGTCCAAAGGGTGTGCAACCAAATATTCACTAGGGTGCCAATACTTTTCTCCAGCCCATTTTTGGGGACCCTGACATTATGTCATATTTGCTTTTCTGCCTCTGCATTTACTATATGTTCCAATACATACAAAGAATAAACATGTGTATAGCAAAACATGTGTTAATGCTCTTTTGTGTGACCCTGCATTTTCACTATATATCAAGGGTGCCAACAATTTCGGACCCTGCATTGACTATATCTGCTCTCCCTGGACCCTGCATTCACTATATCTGGTCTCCCAGGACCCTGCATTCACTATATCCAGTCTCCCCGGACCCCGCATTCACTATATCTGGTCTCCCCGGACCCTGCATTCACTATATCTGGTCTCCCCGGACCCCGAATTCACTATATCTGGTCTCCTTGGACCTGCTTTCACTAGCTCTACTCTCCCAGGACCCTGCATTCACTATATCCGCTGCCCCCGGACCCTGCATTCACTATATCTGCTCTCCCAGGACCCTGCATTCACTATATCTGGTCTCCCCGGACCCTGCATTCACTATATCTGGTCTCCCAGGACCCTGCATTCACTATATCCGGTCTCCCCGGACCTGCATTCACTATATCTGCTCTCCCAGGACCCTGCATTCACTATATCAGCTCTCCCAGGACTCTGCATTCACTATATCTGCTCTCCCAGGACTCTGCATTCACTATATCCGGTCTCCCCGGACCCTGCATTCACTATATCTGGTCTCCCAGGACCCTGCATTCACTATATCTGGTCTCCCCGGACCCTGCATTCACTATATCTGCTCTCCCAGGACCCTGCATTCACTATATC